AACCCTAAACCCTAAACTCCCCAACTGTAGTTTCCTCTAACTCTGATCCCTGAACCTTCAGGTTTGGTCTTCGGGCCAAAACGCCAAGACCCTATCATAAGGTTTATCAAGGCTTATGGGTTCATGGTTTAGGGTTTAGGGGTTAAGGGTTTATAGGGTTTAGGGGTTTAGGTCTTATAGGGGTTATAGGGTTCAGGGGTTTAGGGTTTAGGGGTTTAGGGCTTATAGGGGTATAGGGTTTAGCGGTTTAGGGTTTAGGGGTTTAGGGTTTAGGGCTTATAGGGTTTAGGGTTTAGGGTTTTTGTGAGTTTAGGGTTTATTGGGCTTGACGTTTAAGGTTTAGGGGTTCCCCCCGGCTCTCTGCTGTATAGACCAATCAAAACCACTAGCGACTAGCTGTTAGCAAGAAGGCTGTCGAAATTCTTATTGCCCTTCTAAGGCCCGTTTCTGTAAAGTCGCCCGAGATCCCTAAACCCTCAAACCCTAAGGGCCTTTGCTGTAAAATCGCCTGATATCCCTGATATCCCTGAACCCCTAAACCCTACCTGGACCCCAAAAGTATGTAGAATAACAGCCTTTTATAGGTATTGGGCCATTATTTCACCTACTTGTGGGGGTTTAGGGGAGGCCCTTTTCTGTAAAGTCGCCCTGATATGACAGGGAGGAACCCCGAACTCGGACTTGTTGCAAGTTTATCCAAACCACTGAGACGGGAAACCGTAGGACAAGCACCGCGAATATCGATAGTGCGCAAGATGCCTTAGGTTTAGGGTTTAGGGTTTAGGGACGCAGAAGGTCCAGATGATTTAATTCGAAATTTAGAAGATCGAAGGTCCCAAAGGAGCATCCCCATGATGGCTTTCGGGACCTACATCATTCCATAATACTACGGCTGATGGACAAAATCCTGCATGACCTTATATACCTAAACTGTGGGATTTATGGTACTATGCTATATTTGGGTCATGCAGAATTTTGTCCATCAACAGTAGTGCACCCTCTTGGCCGTAAAGCCTATATAATACTGTAGCAGTCTATATGGACCCTCTTGGTTAACAATTCTTGGCGGGTCGAGGGACTTCGTAATTAGGTAAGAAGTAGACTGAAACAGTAGCCTAATTAAGGGGGCCTACTTGGGGTTATGATACTTATAAATCTATTAACCCTATAAAGCAACTACTTACCAAGTCCCCCGACCCTCCAAGTAACTAAGTATCAGTATAGTTTTGGGGTCCCCCTAAACCCTAAACCCTCCCTGGCAGCAGCTGGAAGCTGAGGACGGAGCTCGTGGAAGTACCCTGGAGCATTCGAGCTTTGTCAGCAAGACAAGGGGTCTGGGACTTTAGCGGGTCAGAGGCTTAGGGTTTAGGGTTTCAAGGTATAG